CTGGGTCACTTTGCAGTGTGATTCCCTCTTCCCAGATGTTTGATGCCCCAGCCAAGATTTCATCCACCTGTTTAATGCCAGGGATGGTTTAGAAGAACACTGGACTGGGATGCCACAGGTCTGTTCCTGTCTCTAGCACTGGACTACTGAGTAATACTGGGAAAGCCTCTCTGTGTCACCGTGCACCTCAGTTTTCCCATCCATAAAATGGGGATAACAGTACGTTGGTCCTTTGCGAAACACTCTGACAACTACTGTAACCAAGCACTAGCTCAGGGCTCTGGAGTCTCTGCCACTAACTCTGTGTCACTTATGAAGTCACTTAGACATTTTAGAAAGGCTCAGCATGCTCCAGCAGGCCTGGAGTCTCAAGAGGGCTCAGTGTGATGAATACTGAGCTGCATTGATAATCTGCCTGCCCTGGGCACAGCTGGGTTATGGGCACTCTTGTTCCTCTTTATCTGAAGTCACACTCGCTCCCTTGTTATGCTCGTGGTCATTTCTCAGAACGTGTTGAACACCACCCTTAAAATCAATGATGCTACTGCACCATTCAAAATGCAGAACAACAGGAGCCAGTAATGGGTTAATTAGTGGAGAAATTATACTGCCACTTGATGCTGGATTAATGTACAAGGGAATTTTCAGCATGGGCAAAAAATAATAAGCAAACTCTCCTTGGCTACCATAATTAGTCATTAAGCTCCCATCAGCCTCCATCATGTTTCCATCTACCACTTCTTCTAAGTGATCTGAGCCAGCGTGGGGGGGATGCACTGCAGTCAACCCTGCCGAAAGCTTCCTTCCAGACTGCTTTCAGGGCATGGACAGACATGTTCACACCTATAATGGGCAATATTAGTATTAAACAATAAAAGACAGACAATGTTAAAAAATTAAAGCAGATGCCTCCCCCCCCCCAGGGGTCACTTTGTCCAGGCTGGTGTAGAATTACCCCTGAAAGAATCTGAGATAAAAACCCACAAGTGCAGGTTACGCTGGTTAAGTTTCATGTGTCCATGCGAATCCCAGGACAGCTGTCCTTACCTGCTCCCCTAAGTAGCGGCAAGGTGCAACAATAAGTTGCCTACTGCCTGCAGCTGCCTCAGGACAACTGCCTGTCTATCCCTACACCTGATCCTAGCCTAATTTACATCGGATTGCAAAATGGGTGTAAATTGCACTGAGGTCTGCAATCACCTCTCCATGCTCCGTGTCTTCCCACTGCCATTTTTGGGGCCAGCTCTTGCTCCCATTGAAACCTGTTAGTAGTCCCATTGGCTTTAGTGAAACCAGAGCTCCTTGCACTCTAGTTATCATAGCAGCTGGGGCCAGCTCATAGCTTCCTAGTTTCTAGGGTCGGAAGGGACCTGAGCAGATCATCGAGTCCAACCCCGTGCCATGGCAGGAAAGAGTACTGGGAGCCGTGTGTAGGGACAGGGCAGGTTGTACCAGGCGACACCTCCGTGCCTGGGGGTAGCATGACCGGCCACATGTGCTATGGCCCAGGCTGCCCTCCATGTCTGGGCCAGGTGGGGCCACGGGACTCGCTGTGGGCCAGATACAATCACACTGCAGCCCAGATCCGGCCTACAGATCATATTTAGCACACCCCTACTGTATATTGTTGTGAGGATTCCCTTGGTTTCTGTTTCTGGATAATGTTCCCATGCATCAGGACCATTTAAAAGAAGAAAGACGGTGAAGCTGACAGCACTCCCAACAGCAAATGCAAATCCAGCCACTGAATCAAAAGAATGCATCCGGCAGGCACAGGGAGTTTGGACTGTATTTGAAAAGTGGCTTTTCCAAACAACAGTCCATATCCTGTCGCTTGAAGGACACAGCTGGTCTGTGTTAGGAGGTCACCGAGGCACATACCACAGGTGAGACTCGTGAGTTGGCCTCAGATGCCCTCAGGGCCTGCATTTGTGTGTAGCGTTGCCCATTGGATTGACTGACCCTACACACCCGTGTAAAGTTAAGCACGTGTGTACGGTAGTGTGTAGGCTTGCATGCCGTGAGCTCCATTCCTGCACTGGGATGCACTAGCATTGGCTCCTGTGTCTCGGAGGAGCCCATGCGAGCAGGGGTAGCAAAAAACCCCCAAAACAACCCTCCCCCACACACACACTGAGGTTTCTATGGTTCATTTTTTTGTTTCAATACAGAAGAAAATCCAAGATCTTTTAAACATTTTTGGGAAAGAACAAAACATGAAAGGAAGAAGCTTAGCATTTAGGGTGCTCACAACCTGCCAGGTGGACAACTTGGATTGAAGTCCACCCTCTGAATCAGCCAGAGATAGGTACTTGAACCACTTCCCAGGTTTATGTGGCTGTTGACTTTTCTTTGTTGCTCTCGCACCAGAAATCCCATCCTTGTCCTGAGACATTTTAGTTAAAACAGATGTTTCCATGAAACGCTTCTATTGCAAAAGTGGTGTTTTTGATGAGGAAAGGTTAGCCGGACACTGTGTGATGGCCTCCCTGTCTGCAGCCAGTCCTCTTCTTGCTCACAGTGCTGGGGTCACTGCCAGTCCTGCCCAGCATGAATGAAGGAAAAACTGAGGCCTCCTGGGACTCCGGATGCACGATCCATGACAGCGGATCTAGATCGAAGAGTCAAGGGTCCAGATTGTCGAATCCTTCAAGCACTGACTGTGTTTTCTTTCATGTGTGTACAGTGCCTGGCACAGTGGCTCTCAGCCTCATTGGGGCCCTAGTCACCACTGTAGCAGAAATAATAATCAGAGTCATTTTGATGGATAGCGAAGACTGTTAGAAAGTACCGGGACCTTTAAAGGAAAAACAAAGCGCTCTTGTAACTCAGCTCGCCTGCTCCTGAAATGCAAAAACAATCCGGAGCCTACCAGCTCCTGATGAACTTGCCTTTCAAACAGTTCAGCTGAAATTAGTCCTGGGACCAGGTCCTGCAATAATATAACACTGCAGAGCGGAAATGACACTCAGCCACTGTGCAGACCACAAACTATTCACAGGCCAAATATAAAACAGAGTCGGCTGATCTTACCAGCTATAACAAAGACATGGGACTGTCCAAAAAGTATCTATTGGGGAGTTTTAGCACCAACATTGAAAGGGTGTCTTAAAATGGTGCGTGAAATAGCACAATTGACCTAAACTTTGAACTTGGGGGAAGTTGCATAGGGATTTAGTTCATTTTCAAAATTACACTGGCGTGTTTTCTAATGTCTCATCCTACAGAACTGTAAGGAGGGATTTTGCCAAGCTTTGTGACTGTCTCAGCCTGGATGAGTAATATCTTGATCTTCCCTGGCGTTCTTCACTGGTGGATCGTAAGGGGTACTGCAAAGAGAGGTAAGTCATCTGTTATCTGGAGGAGGAAACTGGGGCACAGGGAAGGGGAGGGGGAGAAGTGACTAACCTGAGGTCACAAAGTAGACTAGTGGCAGAGCTCGAGTCCCAGTTGAGTCTTTGCACCAGGACAGTCTGCCTTCCGGGTCCACTGCTGAAACTCAGTGAGGGCTTAGCTAAAGGGGAACAAAGGGAAGGAGCCCATATCCAATGGGAGAGGAACTGACGTGCCAGTAAGAGGCCTAGGGGCTTTAGGTAAGTTGTTTCGTTTCTCTTTGCCTTGGCTTCCTTCCCCCTCTGTGTAATGGGAAGTGGGACTTCTCATGCAAGGTACTGATAAGCAAAGCTGGAACCTGGGGCTCAACACTAATCTAAAAGGCTGTGCCTTTGGCTGCATAGAAGTACCTGCCCCCATGCCAAGCTCTGTTGGAGGGGAGAGGACTGCATCCCTTCCTGCAGCACCTGGTCTCCCAACCAGCAGTGATTCAGTCTGGTCCAGACTGGCCTACGCAGCTCAGGATCTCAGAACAGAAGCAGTAGGGAGCAAGGCAAAGCTTTCCACTCAAGTGGGATAAACATGATCTCATCCCATCCTTTTCTGGCTTCTAAGTTAATGAGTTAACCACAAGTTACAGCTGATGTCTTTTTATGGGTCTCCTTAGAAACACTGCAGCAGCTAAGCTGTCCAGAACCAGGCGGTCTGCTTCAAATCATTTCCTAGCTTTTCCCGCTTGCTATAATGCAAACTGAAGAACGATCTTAGACTAGCCAGGGGGGTGTAGAAACCCCTCCCTTGGGTTACTTCAGACAAAACTGCAGTGGAGAGGAAAAGGGGCCACTTGAATGTTCTTGAGTGACAGGCCTTTTGGAAGGTGCAAGGTGTTCTCCCTACCTCTCCTTTTTGATGTTTTGAAGGCAGAAATGTATGAAACCAGGGCTGATTGAAGGGATTCATTGTGAAGAGCGCACAGAGCATGGTGGACCTTCAGGGGAGGGCCCCCATTAACTTCCAAGTGAGCCAGGGGCTCCCTACTGTTTTGGATGGAGACTGTGAAATGGAGCAGCTTTGCCTGAGTTGTATGTGGACTTTGGGGTGGGGCTGGTAAAGGGGGTATTTAAACCTAAACCAGCCCAGAACAAAGCTCTCTTAAAAACAAGTCAACAGAGACCACTGTGCCTTCCTCCTGCTGAGAGCCATGAGGCTCTGGGAAGCTGCTCAGCCTACAAGGCAGCTTAGCTCTATGGAGAAAAGGTATCTGCCACCTGTCTCCCCTGGGTGCTAATTACTGATGATCAGTATGCAACAACCCCTTGCAGTGTGAAATCCCAGAGCATGTCAGAGGCCCCAGTGCCTTTAGCCCTGCAGCACACCTGTGCAGAAGAGGAGGGGCCTTTAATTGAGACGTGGGGAGCCAAGATATTAAGACAGCAGAGCGAGCCACCTGAGGCTGTCCAGGGCATCAGTAGCAGAGCCCTAGTTTGTCTGATGCCCAGCCCTGTGTTGTAATCTCTGCCCCTCGTTTCCTTAGGAGCCAGCCCATGCATGCGGGCACTTTGACAAAGCGCCTCTCCTAACTGTCCCACAGAGCTGTTTCTGATGCGCTGCTGCTGAGGTTTGTGCGAGCTGCTATTTTCCACCCTCCCACTGGGTTTTCTTGCCGTGCTCAGGCCTGGCAAACAGAGGGACGAAGGCGTGTGTGCAGCCCTGACAAAACAGCTGGAATGCCCCTCCCTCCTCTGCTCCTAGGCCTTCCCCTTTTGTTCCATGCAAGGCATCCCAGAGCCCAGCGTTAGAGGCACGTTGGCGGAGCCTCTTCCCCAACAGCCATTGCCACGCAGGGAGCCCACGTAGCCCCTTGCCTGCCTCCAAAGCCTGCTCCTTTCCCCAGGATCAGCTCCTGCCTGCAGCTCTCCATCTTTGCCAGCAGCAGCATCCTCCAGCCCTGGCTGCATCTGCGTCCTTGTCTGCTCCCTCCTCCTCTGGCTTCTCTCCTTCTCCTTGTGTCTGCCTGGATGCAGCAAGCTTGAGCCTAAGGGAGTGGCACGCTGTACTCCAGGGGAAGCGCTGCAGCCTCCAGGAAGGTTGGAGTAGCAAGAGGCTGCAGCAGGCAGGCTGGAGAGCTCCTCCTCTGCCCCCCTGCAACCTGGATGCTGAGAAGAGAGAAGGTAAGGAGGGACCTGGGCTGGTGGAGGGTGGAGAAGGCAGCAGAGGATGGGTAGGGGCTCGGTATTTCGGCCCACGTTGGGCCAGCCACAAAGGAGGAGGGTGAATGAACCTGGTTTAGTTCCCTGGTGGAAAATGCCTGAGGGTCCCTGGCACTGGCAGCAGTGCAGTCCAGCCTCCCGTCTCCTTGCTAAAGGATTGGTCGTGGCAAAGCATTGTCCTTGGGCTGGGGGAAGAAAAGGCACGGCCCTTATTATGGGCTGTGTTTTGTGCTAAGGATGCTGCCGCGGTGGCGTTCCCGCTTGGCTTTGCTGCAATTGAACTTGGACGGCTGGGGCAGGCGGGGGAAATGGTGGATGGACGGACGGGAGCAGCGAGCTTGGCTTTGCAGTGTGCTGAACACACCCACCTGCGCACACGCCTGGCCAGGGAGACGAGCCTGGCTTGGTTCGGATGTGAACTGTGTGTCAGTATTGGCTCGGTGGTGAGGGCGTGCGCGCGTGCGTGCCCACATGGCCAAGCAGGATGGCACCATCCTTTTCTTACCTTGCATCAAGCAGGAGCCTGCAACTTGAGAGGCAGGGATGATGGTATTTGCCATCATCTATTGCTGAGCCCCCGCTGAGCTCTGGTACTCGGGCAGGAGCAGGTCTGCCTTTGTCTGGTGGTGGTTTGTCAGTGTGGCCGTGCCTGGTTGGGCATCGCTTCTCCCTTATGGCTGTCTCATCCTTTTGCTGTTGGCATTAGCTGTGTGACAGGAATTGTCCTTGTCCTGTTTGTAGCTGGGAAATGCCCTTCTAAGCAAGGCCGCCCTGGTGTGTGGTGTTACAATTTGCATAGTGCTGTGGGTGCCCGTATGCAGATCTGGTCTCTGCCTCGGGCAGCTTCCAGTGCGAGCCAAATCGCGCCTGTTTTGGCAAGCTGGTATCAACCAAAGCAGCAGCCCTGGTGTTACTCGGAGCATCTGGGCAGGCTGGGCTGAGAAGCATTTGGAAAGCGCTGTGAAGACAAAGCGTTATGTCAGTGCCCCGCATTATTTACTGCTCTATTGATTGTCAGTCCAGGGGGGCCTTGTGAACCCGGCTTCAAAATTCATCCTGCTGGGAAGAGTGTCAAGTTTCAGCAGCCTGGCTGGTTGGCAGAGAGGTTTCCTTGAGGGTGACTTGCATTTTAAGGAGAGGTTTTCTTTTTATTTGCGGCGTCTTGTAGGATTTGCCTGCCTTCTCCTTTGCCCAGTTTGCTGCTGGGCAACGCTCCTTTATCCAGCTGTGCTCAAGACGCCGCTTTAATCAGCACACTTCAGTCCTGCCCTGTCATTGCTGGAAGTTGAGGCTTTCAGCGCAGCTGCCTGGCTGGTTTTGAAACTTGGGTCTGGTATTTGGCAGGTCAAGGAACTGCTTGCCAGCTGCTAGGCTGTCTGTATGTAACCCGCTTTCATTAGTTGGGTCCAGCAGAGGAGGAAGATCTGCAGTTGATCGGCTGCGCTCTCCCTGAAAGGTGGCAGTCACTGTGCCTGCCAGGAGCTATTCCCCTGGCAGGTGTAGGACTTCCAAGGGATAGCCCAGAGATTGGGCTGTGCTGGAAGTGGAGCCAGGGTGTCAAAGGGGGATGCTGAGAGACCAGGACTGGCTCCTGGTAATGAACATGTGGGTTTTCCAGGGGATGTTGGTGTGATGCAAATCATGGCCTGGGTTATCTGCTGAGGACAAGATTTGGTTGCCTCTCCCATCTTTGCTGGTTGGCCCCTTGCTATTTCCAGTCCTGGAGGCTGCTCTGATTTACACCGGCTATCAGTCTACACCCTCTCTTTCTCCCACGCACATCGTCTGTTTTGGCAGAAATAAAGGAGATGGCTGTAACCTCACAAGGGACCTCCCAACACCAAAAGGATCCCTAGTTATGGAGGTGCTGGTGGTGGTGGAGGAGCAGGTCTGAAACTTTGGTTTCATGTTTATTTTAAAAGCTCTTATCTACTTTGGACCTTGAAAGCTTGGAAGCATTTTTTTTTTAATGTCTCTCCTCACTGCTGATGCTTTCAAGGGACAGTAGATAGATTTACACAAAGTCCATGCACCACTTCTGGGCAGGTCATGGCTAACGAGTGCAAATGGATTGCAGCATTGTTAATAAGTGGCTATAAAAGCTGTGGATAAACCTGGGCAAAGTGAGCTGGGCTGGAACGTGTTACTGCTCCCCTGGTTTGTAGAACGTGGTTTGGCCTCGTTTGCAATGGCCAGGCAGAAAGTATTTATAGACCTTAGATGACCTGATTTCTTTCTCTTCTTTTTGTTCAGTGGTGCTGGGCGCCCTGAGCTCCAGCTGAACTCAGTGACATTCACAGGGACAAACGTGTATGTTGGGTGTATGTATGCCCCTTGGTGCTATAGCTACTGTAGGGACGGCTCTTCATATATTTTATATCTTTTCCTCTTGAAGCTCTTTTAATGTTGAGAATCCAGGTCTTGTTTGCCTTGGAGAATGCCCCACTATAGATTATGGTGGTGGCTCCCCAGGCCTCCGGTCGATATCAAAGCCTCATTGTGCTAATCCGGGGTGGACAATTATTTTGGGTGGAGGGCTGCTTACTGAGTTTTTATCAAGCCATTGAGGGCCGCATGACAGGCAGCCGGGGGCAGATAAATATTAACTTTCTAAATTTTTCAGGGGCCCCGCGGGCCGTATAGAACGGCCTGGTGGGTCGCATTTTGCCCACCCCTGCGCTAATCAGGAGCGAGACAACCCAGCCCTCAATTCTCTGTGGTCCAGTTAGACCAAACAGTTGGGGAGGGAGAAATGAAATGAGTTGTCCAAGGTCAAACAAGCAGGTCGGGGCAAAGCTGGGAGTTGAGTCAAGTGCCTTATCCCCAGGGCTGTCAGGTTTTTCGGAACTCAGTTGCTTTGCAGCATTTCTAATGCTGATCTGCAAGTGATAAATAATCCATTTAGACTCTCCAGGCCTCTGCTGAGCTTGCATACCTGGCATTTGGGATAAAAATATCCTTTTCCCTTATAATCTGGCATGATTGACAGAGAAAATCATTAAGAGACAAATGCAGAACTTCCACTGATCAACAGTTACCGGTGCTCCATCAATGAGACCTTATCTGTGGGATATTCCCTTTTAGCTGGGATGCTAAACTATACAGCTCACTTCCACCTTGTGTATGGCTACTTTCAACTTCCAGTTGTCATGTTCTCCAACAGCGGTCTCCTGACTGTAGCTGGGAGTGGAGAGATGACTTCATTTCACATGACTCTGAGTCTGGCACTTTGCTTCAGCTTTCTGCGCTCACACTGTCTCTCTCAAAGCACATATGCCCCCCTCTGCAAACCAAACAAAAATCCAGAGGAAAAAAAACTTTTTTTTAATTATTACCAGTAAGAGTGGCAACCTTTTTGCATGAGACCTCCTCCACTGATATGATTCCTAATGGAATATCATTTATTAGCAACTTTTATAGAAGGAAAAAATGAAATCTGATTTAGGGAATAGCTAGGGTTGTTCTGGACACAGCAGAAGCAGAAGGAGCACGTTTAAATAAATGCCGCCAAAGATTGTCAAATGCCATTACTGCAGCGTAGTGATGTCAGCTCCAGTTTGACATCAAATTCCATGCCAATCTGGTGGATGTTAGTTTTAGTGTAACATCCTTAAAAATAAGTTGCCTGCAAATAAGCCACCATTTGCAGGTGACTTATTTCCATGGTAGAGTGTTTTATCTAGCTAGCTATGCTTCTTCCCACATGCTCAGCCAGCAGAGGACTTAATGGACTTGCCCAAGGTTGGGCATTGCAATCAGTAAAAATATCTCCATCTCCTGAGTGCCTGCCCAGTGCATACATCAGGCTGCCTCTCAAGATGGAGGATGCTTTGTGTTCTAGTTGTATTAAATAAGTGACCCTACTGAAGCCCAGGGAGCTCTGAAACACTGGCAGAATTGATGTTTGTTACTCTCTTTTAAAAGGGTTGTGAGTTTTACGGATCTCATTTCTGACACTTAACTTCCATGGTGGCTATGCGCAAAATCACTTCTGTTTCCCTGTGTGCAAAAGGGACTTATTGGCCCGTTCTTCCTATAGAGTAAAATATTTTCAAATCACCTTTTTAACCAACA